CAAAAAAAAATTAAAAACAAAACTTCAGTCTCACCGAGTCTCACCACCAGCTGACTCCGACCTCTGGGGACAGGACACAGGCACCAAGAAGCTGTCATTGGTCAGAGTGGGCGGCTCATGGCTCGTGGCTGTGATCTCATCTCAATGAATGCCTAAGAGAAAACTAGCAGAGATGAGAAACAGAACCCCAGGATTAGGTTTGTTTCTTGCATCTGACTTCCTTCCTGGCTAAGTGACCCTTAAAGAGACTTGGTGCTGCCCTCCCCCAGAGAGTGTCTCATTGGACCCCTGTCCCACCACCTGGATCTTTGCAAAGTGTCTGTGTCCTCAGGCCCCAGCAAGGGCCCTGGGCAGTGCCCACATGGGTAATCATCACCGCCTTCATCCTGTGCTGAAGACAGAGCACACAGTGCCAACGCCAAGTCCAAAAATGTGGGAAAGTTTATTTCTCCCAAACATTCCTGATTTGTAATGTGCTTTCTAAAAGCGTTCTCGCTGATCAAGCCCTTGCTATATTTAGCTGCAGCATTGAAAAGCCACGTTCTTTATAAGGCGGGCCATGAGATGGAAGGGTTTAGCAAGAGTCCTCTTCAGGTCCCCTTCATCACAGGAGAGGGGTCTGGACTAACCCTTGCCCCCATGGAGGGCCTCAGTGCTGGAGCAGAAACAAAGGACTTTTGTTAATCTGTGAACTCATAAGGCTAGACTTCAGATCCCAGGAAGTGTCCTTGGAGCCCTCACGCTGCCTAGACACAACAAGGAAGTGCACATTCTGCTGTCCCTGGGAACCATTCCCTCTGCCCCCATGTTTTTTCTGATGTCCCCTGCTGTCCTTCCCCACTGAGCCAGCAATTTCTTTTGCTTTGTATATTGAGTTCACATGCTCCGTCCATCCCAAGAGATAAACTAAATGCAAGAGATCCCACAGGGCTAACCTGGGCCTACTCAGGTTGAGGAGTGGATGTACTATGGAGTTGCAGTCCTTGACAGAGCTGTTGTTCCAGAGAATGTTTAAGACTCACATGTCTCCAGTAGAGTCTACTGGACTAGAGTCTCTCACACATACCACCCAACTTAACTCTGACTTAGCCAGAGCCCATCTGTTAGGTCACTGCTTGTGACAGCTCTGTGGGGCAGAGGCAGTGGTGAGTGTTTCCTCCATTGGGTTTGTGACAAAAGTCAAGAGCTAGAGAGTTTGGTGGCTTTGCCAAAGTCAGTAGCAGGCCTAGGTGGAGTTGGGTCACTGACTTCTCTAGACATAGTCAATGTCTCCTTCCTGCCCTGCCCAAATGTCAAGTCCCAATGGGTGATTTGGTGGGAAGATGGTAGCTGGAGGACTCAAAGGTAGGAACATTCTGGAAGAATAGGGTGGTGGGTGGTGGATGGTGGCAAGCTGAAGAGCAAGGATATGGGGTGTCTAGAGTGACTTGGGGCTTACAGAATCTCTCACTGTACATCATGAGGATGTGAGTCACTGAAAGTCAGCCCTGTCTATGTCCACCTGACCCATGAGCAACAGGGTGTGGTCTTGTCCCCTCCAAGAGGACTTGTGGGAGACACTGCCTTGCAGCCAAGACACCATTATGCCCTCCCTCCCCTATACTCGTAGATGACATCACTATCTGTGAACACTCATTCTGGAAGGACAGTGTGAAGTCCATCACATCCAAAGAGCCATTGGCAAGGGGAAAACTTGTGCTTTGTGACAAACCAAGTTGAGCACAATCTTCCCAACTTAGCAGCCCCCTCCTGGGCTCTGAGGTGTAAGGGTGGAGACTGAAGGTCCCAAGGTGTGACCCCAGGAGCCATGTCCAAGCTCCACATCTTGTCCATCTAAGGGGCTCTATATTAGTGTCTAGAGCTGCTGTGTCCTCTTAGAAGCTTGCCCAGAAGGGACCCAGTCTCTAGGAAGTCACAGTTTAGCTGAGTATCATCTGAAGCATCCCAGTATCTCTCTTGAATGTCATAGCTATGGTCAGAACAGTGGTCACTGACTAGTCCAAGAAGAAGGACTGTCTGTCACTCATGCCTCATTTGTCTTCCCACACCCTTGTCCTTGACCAGGCCCACTCTGTCCCAAGTACGCAGCAAATATATAACTTATCTTCTATAAGCCGTGTTACCTGGTCTTCCTTGTGGCTGGAACTATGACAGGTTACAGCCAATCAGAGGCATTGATGGCATAAGGCAAGCCAAAGGGAATAGGGAAGGGGTGGAGCAGCTGGGATGATGCTGGAGGCTGGAGGAGAGGGGTAGGTAGACCATGTCCTCACCTTACTGATCCCTCTAGTTTCCTCACCTGACCCTCAGTCTCCACAAAATGATCCTCATCATTGATCTGAGTGAATTTCAGTTTCCTGTGGGACTGTTTTTCCAAAACTTGATTTAAAATAAAAAGAGGCTTAAGACCAACCTTTGCCCCACAACCTCCCCTCAACCAGTACCAGTGTAAACAAGGACACCCAAATATCCCAGGGCCCATGGTTCATGTAGCCAGCTCACTCCCCAGTTACCGACAAGCCACATATCCATCTTGCCCAGGGATACTGGCACTTGGATGCCATTTGAAGGGACGGGATTCCCCACTTCATATCTCAGACCTTTCTGTGGCCCCTCCCAAGTCACAGTAAGCACTCTGGCATCTGCCTGGGCCTGCAGAACCTGGTCCTGGGACCTTCAGGCAGGAGTAGCATAGCAGACCACTTGTCACTGAGTTATTTTTAAACTACTATTAATGCATAGCAAATGAATTCTACTTTTCCCATAAGATCTTGTTCTTTCTTTTTAATAACAGGTGATTTTTATCATTGGTCTTTTATACTCTATAAAGCAGTCATTACTTCCAACACCATGAGGCAGGACCATGCACAAAGCCTCGGCTCTCCACTGATTTCTCAAGCATAGATTTCTGTGGTGGAAACTTTAGGCTGTTGACACAGGGGCAGGCCAGCCCTGGCTCTGGTCATAATAGTCACCATCAGTAGCCCCTTCTTTAACTCACACATGAACAGTCACTGACCACTCCTTGAAATAGTGAGGACATACAGCCCCAGGGTCCATATGAGAATGGCTGGATCACACCCTGAATGCCCTGGACAGGTCTAGTTTATGTCCTCGAAAATATGTGTCAGGTCCAAAACATCTTGTCTACAAAACTCTCTACCGATAAAAGTGGCCAAGGCCTCAGAGCCAGGGTATCTTCTGAGACACTAAGCCTGGGTTAGTCTCATCACAGCAATGCAGAAACATGGATAATCTGTCCTAGTCAGAACTATATAGAAAATGTAACTGTGGAAAGCCATATATAGGGCTGGGGAGGTGGCTCAGTGGGTACATGCTTGTTGTGCAAGCTTGAGGACCTGAGTTCTGATCCTCAGAGCCCCTAAAAAGCCAGATGCTATATAGCAGGCAACTATGATCTCATGGTTTCTGCAGAAAGATGGGAGGCAGGGACAGGAGACTCCAGAAGCTGGTGGGTCAGCTAGCCCTATGCATGCAAAAACACACTAGAGACACTACATCAAACAAGGCAGAAGACGAAGACTGACACCAGAGCTTTTCCTTTGGCCTCTACTTGCGTGCTGTAACACACATAAAACCACACTTACTCAGATGAACATCACACACACAAAAGAATTTTTAAAAAGGAAGTCATGTGTAAAGCCTCTGAATTCAACAATCTGTCCAAGTCCCACCTACATGCAAAAGCCTCTGAGTGCCCATGTACACTGCACAGATATACAGACATACTTACATGCACACGTACACACAGGATGTGTGCTTGCATAACTACACACATTCCTCATTAATGAACCTGTCATCCAATTCAGTGGACTCATCTGCATGTGTGAAAGAGAGACAGGCAGGCAGGCAAAGATAGAAACAAGAGAAAGAGACAGTAAGAAACAGATAGGGACACACAAATAGTGAGGTAGACAGCCATCAGGGGAGAAACAAGGCTGTCTCCACCCCTTTGTTCTGTGAAGAGAGACAACCTTCTGGTTGCGTGAGAATAGAATCAGTCTCACTTCTGCTTCCCACTAAACATAACTGGAGTGCTGTCTTAATTACTAGCAGAGATCTTTTTTTCTTTTCTTTTCTTTTCTTTTTTTTTTTTTTTTTTTTTTTTTTTTTTTTTTTTTTTTTTTTTTTTTTTTGAGGCAGGATCTCACTGTGTAAACCCTAAGTGGCCTGGGACTCCTATATAGATCAGTAGACCAGGCTGGCCTTGAACTCAGAGATCAACCTGATCGCCTCTGCTTCCTGGGTGCTAGGTTACTGGTGTGCTCCATCATGTCTGGCCTGAAACCATTTCTTGGTCTAGCTGATTTATAGCAATCATAATAACAACAATAGTGGTAATGGTAATAATAATCGTCCATACTACTGAGACAGTTATACATATGGGACATCAGAGTAGCAGTTTGGCTAGTGAGGACCCAGTGCCCTTCCTTTTCCTCAATAGGAAAGAAACCCACAAAGACTGACACAGACTGCCTAGAAAACATCTTCACAGTACAATTCTCCAGTGATTTTGTGCCTGGTGAAAGCGGACACTGAATAGAATCCTTCTGCATAAACACACAAAGTAGATGCATGCTCTTGCATCCGTCTGTCCCTTAAAAACTATGTTCTTACAAATGCTTTTTGAATTATAACCTTAAAATACCACCTTCTAAGAACAGCAGTATTAAATCAGTTGTTTCCCCAAAAGTCGGTTGTCACAAATCAACAAACACACCCGAGACAGCATGTCAAACACAAGAACGAAAAGAAAAACTAAAAGCACCCAGTGCAGCAGAATCCCCCTCTCTTTTTGCTATTCAATCCCCTCCAGGGCTCAGTGGAGTTTCTGGTCCCTCCCCTGCAGCTTGTCTTCACCCTCGGAAGCCAAGGCTGCCAAAGATGCTGACCGGGTTCCCGGATATAATCCCGCTCTCTCCTTCCTACTACACTGTTTGTTTATGTCCCCGTAATCCACTGAACCAGTCAGTGAGAGGTTAATGAAAAAACAACCTTTATTCAGACGCTGGGCACATGGGAAACATCCAATGGCAGCCTGCCTGCTGCATTCTAGTCGGTCACAGCCACCTGGATCCATGATGGGGTCTCAGCAAAGTCCTTCAAATACAGCCACTGTACACCCTCCTCCCCATCTGCCCACAGACCTGGTGGGGCCTGGGTTGGGCAGAAAGACTGAACTGCAAAGATCTGACTGACTCTTGACAACCAGAGTCTGCCCAAAATGCTTTTCCCACCACTGACCAGCAGGGGACTTGAGAGTTCTTAAAGATTTTTGCACAAGTCCGGGGAAGTGGTTGGTTGGTTGATTTTTGTTAGTCGGTGTGGGACAGGTCTAACTCTGTAGCACAGGGTAGCCTTAATCTCACAGCAATCCTCCTGCCTCAGCCTCGAAAGCACTAGAATTACAGATGTGACGTGGCACACCTTGGTTGTTGTGAGACTTCACTCTGGGCCTATGCCCAAGAATTCTTCCTTTTTTGTTCCCTTCCTACCCTAAATAAAAGACAGTTAGCTCTTTAGTTCCTCAGGAAGTCAAATTTCAGAACCCGTCACAAAGCTAAAACACAAGCACCACAAAGGTCTGCCTGTTTCCCCCCCAAGCTGGAAGTTGGACTGAACTGTAACCAACTCAGCTGTCTTAGTCAGATGGTGGTTGGTGACCACCCCCATACTCTCTGGTCACTTCTTTGGTGACCCTCTGGTCACCCCTATATGTTTATCTAATGTCAGGATCCAGCTACTCCTGGAGGGAACACTGACTTGGGGTACCACAGGCTGAGTCTGAAGAATCCCTATCAAGCCTAGTGCCTGTGCCATGCAGAGGCATTTTTGTCTCAGGTGGGAGTATGCTTGTTCCCCCAGCCTTTCTGATTATAGGGTGTCCTTTACTATGTGATTCTGGAAAATGTGTGTGTGCGGGGGAGGGGGGAAAACAGGACGCACTTAGATCTTGAAAAACTACAGAAATAAAAATTCTGCCCTTGAGGTGTATTCACTCCACACATACCCTCGGGGTCCCCTGAAATCCTTTGATCCCTTAAAAAGAAAAGCAGAAGCTAACGGAGGGCTACACTGCTGCAGAATGCACTGAGGCACCATCTTAAGCCGTAATTATGTGGTACCTTGAAAGAAGCCGCTAGCCAAGTAAGAGGAGCCTGGTTTATAAACCAAGGATAAATGCCCTTTTACTGTAAAAGAAGGTTTATCTATTCATACTGAGTGTTGCTGCTCTGCCTCTGGTTTCTCTTAGCCTTAGTTGTAAATGATAGCCAGGCCTACATCTCTTCCAGACCCTGAAGAACACGGATCATCCCCAGCACCCTGGATGCAAACTCCAATCATCCAAAAGAGGTCACAGCCAAGGCCTGGGGCACATGGAGTCCTCTGAGTCCAGTAGAGTTTCCGTGTAGAAATGTTTGCTATGTTTGTAAGTCCTGCCCTCGGGGTCATCAGGAGACTCGGGTCCTAGGGAGGACCTGTGGTGGTCAAGGAAGGTCAGGCCATTGTACAACGCCAACGTCCCAATGTGCTTCTGCCGGTGAAGGATTGCGAGAGCTGAGTGTGAGGTGATCACGTCCACGTCCTGGACAAATCTTTTAAATCTGCAAAGATACCCGAGGCTGGTTAAGTCATCTTCAGAGAAGGCAGCTCTCGACCAATGCACCGAGTTTGGTGCGCGTAGGTACGCTGCTCCAAACCCACAGTCGCCAGGGCAGAGACCAAGGTGACTTTTTCACCCACAGGCAAGCTGTAGCCGAGGCCTTTGCTCACTGGAGGTGGGGGCTCGCGGGGAGGGGAAGCAGCTGTTGATCCGCCTTATTGGAAGCGAAGCACAGCGGCCTCGGGGACCTGCAAAGGGAAATAGGAAAGGAAGGGGATTCCCAGCTGGGAAAAGCCGCCCTGGACATGCGGGTCGAACACCAGCGAAGCGTTGAAGGGAGGTGGCAGGCCGGAGGAGGAGGCCAGCAGCGAAGCACCCAGAAAGCCCGGCACAGGCTTAGGGACCCCCGAGGCCTCCGCCCCTGAGGCTGGCTTTGGCCTCCCGGCCAAGATGCTGTCGATGCTGAAACTCTTAGACTTGGAACCCTTGGGGGAGCCGCTGGGTGAAGGGCGCAGAGGGGACCCCGGGCGGTGCACCGTGCGCTCCGGTTGGCCGCTTGCCACTGCCCCGGCACCGTGGACTGTTCGGTCCGCGTCCCGGTCCCAGGGCTCAGGGCTGGACCAGGGAAGGAGAGCGGGCCGCGCAGTGCCTCCAGTCAGGGACTGAGCATAATCTGGCGCGCGCGGTGGACGTGCAGTGGCCAGGCCCGGGCACCCTGCATTGCAGCCCACCTCGGGCTCCGGTGGCTCCGCCCGGGTGCGCTTCGCCTCCGGGGAACCCGCGGCGGGCTTGGGCTTCCTTTTCCTGCGGCGGTAGTTGCCGTTCTCGAACATGTCCAGGCATCGAGGGTCCAGCGTCCAGTAGCTGCCCTTGCCAGGCCGTCCCTTCTCACGCGGCACCTTCACGAAGCACTCGTTGAGCGACAGGTTGTGGCGGATGCTGTTCTGCCAACCCTGGCGGTTGTCGTGGTAGAAGGGGAAACGGTCCATGATGAACTGGTAGATGCCATTCAATGTGACCCTCTGCTCCGGCGCGTCTTGGATCGCCATGGCGATGAGCGCAATGTAGCTGTAGGGCGGCTTCTGCGGGGGCTCGGCACGGCCCGCCAGCGCGGCGGCAGGGGTGAAGGCCAGGGGCAGCCCGGGCCTCTCGGGGCTGTACACATACAGCAGAGGCGAGGCTGCCAGAGCGGCCAGCGGGGGACTGAAGAGGTGGCTCATGGCGACAGCAGACTCTGTGCTCCGCTGCCCAGGCAGCCTAGGGACTTCGCCCCGCGCCAGGGCCCTCCCGGGGAGCCCTCCGTGCGTCTGCCCTGCGATCTGCCGCTCTCTCCAGCCACTGCGCGCTCTGTCCCTTCTTCATGGCTTTAAAAATGTTAAATAATTGTTGTAAGTTTGCTATTATGTGTTGACTTAGCGCTGGAAAATAAATTGTCTATGATAAACAGTCCTTGTGTTCTCAGCCCACCCACATTAATTAAAATTTCATTGCTGAAAATCTCCCAGCTCTTCCCTCCACGTGTCCTTTTGATACCAGCCAATCGGTTTCGGGGCTATTCCTCATTTGTTTATAGAATTAGTCTGTTGATAAGTCCGCCCACCCAAGTTGAATCAAGCTGTGTTTATTTGGAAAAATTTCCGGGCACCCAATATATAAACGCACTGATCTGATGTTTGAAATACCACGTCCACCCCTTGACGCTGTAAGCACACAGTCAGAGAGGCAGGATGTGGAGGGACGGGTGGCTCTGCCGAGCTGGGTCTGCCTGGCCAGGAAGGAGGGATGGAGATGGGGGGGGGAGCAATGGGATATATTTTAAGGCTAGTCTGGGGGATTCTTCCACAAAAGATCTTTTATTTCCCCTAAGCTTAATAGGCAATGTAAAGATAGCACCCTACTCTGCATTTGGGGAGCTGGAAAGACACTAGACACACCTCGTGGAGATGAGCACTCTCTAGGGAACTATTGCCCAGAGGCACATAACAAAGCCCCAGGAGACTCAGGAGAAAGGAGTGGACCCCAGGAGCCAGCCTTTTTGCAAGGGTGGATAGCAGAAAGCTCTGGAAAGCTGTAAGTGAAAAGAGCACCTGGTCCCTAGCTAGATCCATTAAAGATTGCAAAACAACCCCCCTTGGAAAGTGGGGGGGGGGGTCTTTCTGGTCTAGCTAAGGTTGCTAGCAAGGCAAACCATAAAGGGGGGTGGCAGCTGGCGGGGAGCTGGTGTTCGTGAATGTGGGTCTTTAGCTCCATACTCTGTGCCTTCCTGTTTATAACAAGGAGGGGGGTTACAACAGCTTTACAAGTGTGCACAGCTGGCTGGTGATTACATTAAGCATTTGTGAAGCCTGCATGCTAGTAGGGGGCAACTTCCCAGTTGGCTCCCCTCCAGTGGGGTAGGGACTCAGGTTAGTCTGTATTCACGATGTCTGCCCGGGACTGTTCTTTGAAAGGATGTGGAAACAGTGTGAAGAACTTCGTTAGTAGCTGTCTCCTGAATAATTTGCCAAAAAAGAAGGGAGCGTTTGGAGGTGCAAGTGGGTAAAGAAATAGCCTTCTGCCACCCATTGGAGGCGGAGACACACTGAGCACCAATTAGGGTACCAGGTTTGGCTGGTACTCTCTGAACATGGAGAAGTGGGGTGATGATCGCCCCAGTCGCAATTGCGGAATCTAGAATATAGCGTTCCGGTTTATGATGTCTTAGCATCCTACCACCACAGAGAAGCGAGTAAGGAAATGGAAATTGGAAGTTTTACCCCTGGCTTGGAAGAAAACCAACAACAAAAACCAAACCAAACAAACACCTCCATTTTGGTGAAAGGTGGGCCCGAGGGAGTGTACAACTAGCCCTTGCCCACTCCATCTCCCTCTGGGACTGCAGCATTTCTAATCTGAGTCCCGCAAGCAGCTCTGACTAATGGCCTAGGTGCAGGGATGAGGGCGGGGGTCGGAGTGTGTTTCTCCCAGAGCCCTGGCTTTCACCAGAATACCCTTTTTAATTCTAGGTTGAAATGTCAGTGAGCAACTTCACCTTTGCCACCCGGGTCCCTCGACTCTGAGCTCCCTTAACAGACCCAGACCCATAGTTAAGCCAGTGTCACCCAGCAATTCCCTCCCCTCACCTCTGAAACCCTCGCCAATCCCAGAGCTCTCCAGGACCCCAAATCCAGCACGCACCCACGACCCTCCCGATAGGCGCGACCCTCTGAGCTGTCCCGGCGAGTCTTCTGAACCCTAAGGCGAATCTGAGCTTGAATTCCAACAATAATAAACACCGCCCACTTTAGGCGTGGGCTAGTCGCTGGCGGAGACACGCCCGGCAGGTGGGCGGGGCACGGCTAGGAAAGGGGAAAAGTTTAGAAACCTCCAGCAGAATTGCACCAGCAGTTTGGAGGCTCGGGGCCCGCAGTTGGCAGTGTCTACAGGAGGCTGGAGCCAGTGCACCCGGCCCGCCACGGGCGCGGTGTGCAGCCTGGGCTCCCAGGTGACACTCGCAGCCTTAGCCCGGGAGAGCCTGCTATGGGAGGACCCTCTCTCAGGGGGCATTCTGGTCTTTCCGGGGACTGTGGCGCAAAGGCCAGGAGTCTGCTAGCCTAGGAGCGGATGCGCCCTCGTGCGGAAGCTCAGTCCTCTGAAGACCGACCTGGCCCGGTGGCGGAGCCTGGGAGCAGTGGGTGTCACAGAAAAGAGGGATTTCAACCAGGTTCCTTAAGTGTTCAAATCCCGGAAAACAACAACAAAAACAACAACCTCGTATGCATTGGCAGTCAGTTGGAGACAGCCACCTCCCTCCCAGGAGAGCCCGTGGTCCTCCAGACGCCTGGGAGCAGAATGGACAGTGGTTTCTGCGTGGGATGAGGACTGACAGCCATATTCCCAGTGCTGGGACAAAGCGGATGTGCGCTCCTTCGGGAGGTTATGCGGAGGAGACAGGCCTCCCAAAAAGCCAGCACCGGGAAGAATGAGAGTCAGGATTCTCTCCCACCACTCCCAGGCACACTCAGAACCAAGTAGGCCTTCAGAAGAAGGACTTTCTGTGTTTTTCTCCAATCATCTGCAGTTCTTTCCCATTCGGACGACAGACAGTAGTATAAGTAGCCCTGGGCCTCTGATCTCACCTAGTGCAATGTATTTAGGTGGGAACTCAGACAACTTAAAACTGCTGTGGACGCAGACTGTGGACTGGCCTGCCTTTAACCCCAGCACTCTGGAGGCAGAGGCAGGAGAATCTCTGTGAGTTCGAGGCCAGCCTGGTTTACAGAGCTACTGCCAGGACAGCCAGGGCTACAACAGAGAAACCCTGCCTCAAAAGAAACCACTGTGGATAAAGAAAGGGAACTGAGCACCATTGCCTGCTGTGTGAAGTGTTTGCATTAAGTCATTTGACCTCCACAGCAACTCTAAGAAGTAGTAGGTAACATGTTATCCCAACTATTCAGGAGGCTGAAGTAGGAGGAGCCCAGATTCAAGGTCTGTCTGCATTGCACAGTGGGTTCAAAGCAAGTTGGGCAACTTAGTGAGACCAAGTCCCAAAATACAAAACACAAAATACAAAAAAAAAAAAGTAAATTAGGGATAGGGGTATCACTCAGTTGGTAGAACACTTGCTTAGCATTCAGGAAGCCCACATAAATCAGGCATGATGGCCTATGCCAGTAATCCCAGCACCTAAGGGGTATAAGTGGAAGGATCAGAAGTTCAAAGTCATCCTCAGCTACATGTTGAGTTGGAGGTCAGCCTGGGCTACATGAGATCCTGTCTGAAAAGGAGGCTGGAGAGATGGTTTAGCAGTTAAGAACACTTACTATTCTTCTGAAGGAGGTCCCAAGCTTGGTTCTCAGCACCCACATAAGGTAGATGACAACTGCTTTTTAACTCCAGCTCCAGGGGCAGAATAATTAAATAATAAATAATAAAATATTCTTAAGTAAAGTGGTTTGTATGGACAGTGATGTGACACTTGCCCAGCATGTGTGAAATCCAGAATTTAGTTCCCAGTAGTACACACACAAACACACACAAAAAAAATTAAAAACATTTGTTATTTCCATTTTCAGACCAAGAAACTGAAGCCCACTAAATTAACTTGTCTCTGTTCTCCCATGGAGACCTGTCCAAAGATAGGGACACAACCATATTACAACTGCCACCCCGTATATGGCACTCAGGACACCTATGGAAAGAACTTCCTTCTCAAGCCATTGCAGCAGCAGTAAAAGACAAGCCTGAAGGATCCACCCATTCTGCAGAGCATGAAACTGAGGCTAAGCGACAGAGGGAGCACTCCCCAGCTACTGCCACTTGGGCAACCGGCAGAATGGGAATCAGAAGCCACAGGTTGTCCTCAAAGGTGGATTCAGAGGAGCTGGGGCATTGGTGGTGCATGCCTTTAGTTCCAGCACTTGGGAGGCAGAGGCAGGCCGATCTCTCTGAGTTCGAGACCAGCCTGGTCTACAAGAGCTAGTTTCTGGACAGTCTCCAAAGCCACAGATAAACCCTGTCTCGAAAAACAAAAACAAACAAACAAACAAACAAACAAAACAAAAAGGTGGATTTGGTGGGGCCTGAATGCTTAGATGTCCTCAGGAAATGGAGGAATGTTTGGAGAAGTGTGCAGTCCCAGTGTTGGGAGCCTCAGGGTATCCCTGAATCCTTACATACAAACCCAGAAGGCTTTGTTTCCCCTCCCCTCCCCCTGTGAAAAGAGCCAAGTAGAGTCTGCCCCTGTTTCCCCTAGGGGGTGTAGATAGGGGTAGGGCCTGAAGAAAAGGGCCTGATCAGCTGATGCAGCGCAGTGTTTTCCAAATGACATACTTATTTATAGAGCACCTTGTTCCCAGAAAGGACGGGAAGACTCCCAAGGAGGCCCTAAGGGCACGTCCACTACCCCACTCAAAGTCATCCAAATAGGCAAGATTCATAGCAGAATCCCTTCTGAGAGAGCTCTCGATACCACTACCATTAAAACTCTATTTCACAGTCCTAAGAAGTATCACCTAAGAGTCTGGCCTCAAAGCTTAAGGGAATGGGATGACATTGAAACTATTCATAGGGCCTGGAATGGTGCTGGGACTTCAACTGCAGAGTCCCTAGGAGTCAGGCCTGGACGGCCACAGCTATTTAATCACAGCTATTTAATGGCCATCCAGGCTTCTCACCCAGTGGCCAGAGATCGAGATCCAAAAACACAAAGCAGAACAGGCATGGTTGAACAGAATTCAATGGCAGAACTCCATAGCAGAACAGGGCAGGTTGAAACCTCCCACTACCCAGCTCTCTTAGTCACCTAGGAAGTCTGTACCTTTGTCACTGCCTCTCCTTCCACCTTAGCTCTCTGCACATACTCAGGGACCCAGGATGCATCCCCACATTTGGACACTTAGAAAGTCAACAGTACTCTAAGGGACAGGCTCCATCGTCAAACAATAACTATGGCACATGTTTATCTGCTGTCATCCCTGTAGAGCAGGGATGTTTGAAAGAAAGAAGCTGATGCACCTTCCCAGGTCTTGTCCCCACTGAGGCTGGTGGCTGCCCACCTCCTAAATGCCCTTTCTTACATGCTTGTGTCAAAAAAGCAAACATTTCAAACGCCTTGGCACTGGAAGGCAAGCAAGAAAGGCAGGCAGGGAATGCTTCTCAAAGTTTGGGAAAGCATTCCAAATATTCTGAGCTGGACGGCTTGGGGGGGGCACAGTTGGTGCCACTCTGCCGCTCTGTCCCAGCCTGTGCCTCTACCTGAATCAGAAATCAGACTTTAGATGGCTCTATCCCTAGCTGAGTCACCCACTGACCCATCTTCAGGTCACAGCTGGGGGAGGGGCCGTGAGGCAGTTTGGAGGGAGCCCTGAAGACTGTGTGAGTCTTGAGGCAACTTCCTCGTGTCTTTATTCACACTTACCTGTTCTGATTTACAACAAAGTCAGAGATCCTGCCCCACCTTTGAATTTGGGAGTGGGGACAAGGATGAAGAAGACACTAGTCAACAGACTTCATTTGGCAGAGTGCTGAAAACGTGTTTTTCTACAATGCGCAGTTCACCAGCCTTTCCCAGAGCCCAGAAAGTGGAGCTGTAGGGGAGAGGACCCTGAAGGGTATGAGGCAAGCACCAGTATTCCCTAGAGCCTTCATTTTCTTCTCCTTCTAACTTTTGATCTTCATTTAGTTCAGTAAGAAAGAGGTAAGAGTGGTAAATCGGTCTCTCTTGGGATCCCAGGTGACAGTGGTTCATGCCTTGAGATGTAGAAGTCGGAATTCCCAGTTGTATACATTCTGGACCACAATCACTGTCACTTTTTTCATCTGCTGTGACAGGCCACCTGAGCCAGGCAGTGAGGGCTACTGCTGCAGATCCAAACTGGTTTGGGGAGAGGTTTGAGCAGGGACAAGGCTGGGAGGCACTTCCTGAAAACTGCTGTTGTGGTGGCATAATTTCAGCCTAAGAAGACAATGGAAGTACGGTGCTCCCTCCAGCCACAGTGTTTGAGTTGGGTGTGTGAGGCATGGAGGGCTCTCTACAGACCCGAATCTGCCAAAACTGAGCGGATGGTTTATCAGTGCATTTGGTTAAGGCCAGCTGGTACTTGGGGTAAACCCACAGGAACGTCTTTCCCACAGTGTTGCAGGGCTTGTTTCGTCTTTATCTGTCCTATCTTTGCGATCTGCCCAGCTGCATTGTCTTCTTGAGTCTTGGTTATCGGACAAGTATGTGTTTGGATGGAAAGACAGAATTACCCTGGCAGAGAGCTGGACTACCTGGGGCAGGCACTCCAGGTCTTCCATCTTAGAACTGGAATGTCCGGAGCTTGTCAGGGACAGAGCGGCCTAAGGAAGACCAGTGTATGGGTAGTGAATCAAAGACAATCTATGTCCCCGTAGAAGTCTTAATGCAAGGAATATCCAGTTCTCAGAGTGACTGTTAAGACCCTAATATTGTAGCCTGACCTTGCCTCCTTGCTGCTGGCAACATTGGTGGGGGCTACTTCCTGGTTTATCTGAAGAGTGGTGATAAGCCCCTATTCCTAAGGAGCTGGCTGTAGCTGCCAAAGACTAGGTTGAGCAAAGCTGTGAATAAGTGAGCCTAAGAATTAGAAATCCAACCTTCTGACACTTATCCTTCTTCTTTTGACTGCCCTGAGGAAGCGACACCCTAGACCAACATTTCCCGGGGCCCCATTTTCCACACTGCTGCTCCAGGAGGCCTGGAAAAAGCCCGAAACACAAGTTGGCTGCTTATGTTCTAAGA